CTCTGAAGACAGTGAAAAACTGAACGTGTGTGAAATAAAGGTCTTCAGATTTAGTGGTGTTAGTGTGTTACTTTGGTTCTCTTTTGGATGTAATACGTTTAATATTCAAGAGAGTGTTATTGCACATTATCTTATGCCACGGATATGAACATTGTAAATTTTTCTATTTGTCACTGACACGAAACTGGCATGAAATTCCCTATTTCTTTTAGGTATTGTAATATACTTGTGTTTTATGTCAAATGTGTCTGTGTAAAGGACTACAAAATGAGTATAACAGTAACAGCAAGGTTTATTCAGTCAGGCGAGCACATGGCATGTTTTACAATACAGTTGTATCATGGACAATCCCAACTACATAAGGGAAGTAACTCTGGTCTAACTGTTAAAGGGAACTAACTATAAATGATTAGTCTTATAGGATTCAGACAACTGAATATTAATGTATAATATCCTTACATCTCCCTTTCTTCAAAAGAAATGAAACTAACTTAAAATAAATACATATAAAAAATTAACATCTGAATTTCAAATATTTAAATCAATTAAACAAAATCAGATTAATCTTACAAACATTAATTATGTTCTAATTTCCAATCTTTCATAAGACATCACATGAGATGATTATGACAAAATAAATTAACCATCATTATCAGGTTTCTACAAATCTTTTTGGACAACGGATATTTCTTTTAGGTCTATCATATTGTCTATTTTGATAATTAGCATTCGAATTTACATCATCATCATCCTTTTCAACGGAATTATGAACAGAATTTGGAACAAGCAATAATTGGCGACGATTTCTTCTACAAATATTACCATTTTCTAATTTACATTGATAAGATCTAGGAGCAACTTGTTTAATAACAATAGCTTAATCAGCCCAAATACCATCCTTACTTACTCTAACAACATTACCTGGACATAGTGATTCTAATTGTTTTGTTGAATGTTTATCGTGATACAATTTCTGACTTTCTCGTCTCTTATTTACAACATAATCTGAATTAGGCACATTTAATAAATCAGTTTTCATTGGCAAATTAGTGCGTAATTTTCTGGACATTAATAATTCAGACGGTGATAATCCAATATTTTCTAAAGGAGTACTGCGGTATGCTAACAAACCCATTTCAATATCTTCATTGTTCTCAAGACATTTCTTATAAATTGACTTAATTGTTTGTACAGTTTTCTCTGCTAAACCATTAGAATTTGGAAATTTAGGACTTGATGTGACATGTAAAAAATCATAATCCTTTGCAAATTTTCCAAACTCTGCACTATTATAACATGGACCATTATCACTAAATAATTGTAAGGGTAAACCATGCCTAGCAAAAACACTTTTCATAGCACTTATAACACATTTAGTAGTCTGACTGGATAATTGAATTACTTCTGGAAAATTTGAATATGAATCTACAATAACAATATAATCTTTATTATTTAATTCAAATAAATCAGTGGAAATTTTCTACCAAGGCCTTTTAGCTAATTCATGACTTTGAAGTGGTTCTTGTGATTGTTGACTTTGATATTTTTGACAGCTTTCACAATTTCCAACCATATCAGCAATATCTGAATTAATATTAGGCCAAAATAAAACTTGTCTTGCACGAAGTTTACATTTTTCTATACCCATATGACCTGTATGTATCTCTTTTAGCATAAATGAACGTAATTTAACAGGAATTAAAATACGATTACATTTGAAAATAACCTCATCAATAACTGACAATTCATCTCTATAATTCCAATATGGTACTAAATCATCTCTACAATTTTTCTTACTATCAGGCCAACCTTTCAAAATTACATTTCTTAAGGCACATAAGGTTTCATCATTAGAAATTTCTTTTTGAATTTCTTCAAGTTTATAACTAGCTATAGGAAGTGAGTTACAAATACCTAATACAAAATCTTCAACATATTCTTCCTCAACACTAGATATTTGAGTACATTTTACGGGTGCTCTAGACAAAGTATCAGATACAAACATAAATTTACCTGGCACATAAGTTAAATGAAAATCATATGTTTGTAATCTAAGTCTAAATCTTTGAATTCTAGGGGGACAATCATTAAGACCTTTTGAGAATATGGCAATTAACGGTTTATGATCTGTCTCGACTTCTATAACTTGACCATAAATAAATGAATGAAAACGCTCACATGCGTAAGTGATAGCTAAAGCTTCACGTTCTATTGATGCGTAACGACTTTCAGTTTCCGTCAAAGCTCTAGAACCAAAAGCTACTACAAACCAGTCATTATCATGTTTTTGTTGCAAAACACATCCAATTCCCTTTAAACTCGCGTCAGTGGAAATTTTTATAGGTTTCAAAGGGTCATAAAATTTAAGAATAGGTTCACTAGACACAAGTGCTTTAAGGTCTTCAAAACATTTTTCATGATTTGGAGTCCAATTCCAAATATTATTTTTATCTAACAAAGATCTAAGAACAGCAGTTTTATCTGACAAATCAGGCAAAAATCTAGCAAGGTATGTTATCATTCCTAAGAAACGTTGAATATCTTGTTTACACGTAGCTCTCTCCATTTCATTTATCGCGTCAACCTTTCTTTGATCAGGTTTCAGTCCATCTTTAGAAATAACCTCACCTAAGAAAACTAATTCAGGAACACCTATTTCACATTTGTCTTTATTCAATTTAAGACCTACTTCTCGCGCTTTATCTAACACCAATCTTAAACGAGAATCATGTTCAATTTCATTGGAACCCCAAATTATGATATCATCCATAGAAGTGTCAACTCCTGGTAAGTGTTCAAATAATTGATGTATGGTTCTGTGATATATTTCTGGCGCACTACAAATTCCAAAAGGTAGTCGCAGGAACCGATATCTTCCATACGGCGTGTTAAAGGTACATAAGTAAGAACTACTTTCATTCAGTTTTAGTTGCCAAAATCCATTTGAAGCATCTAATTTACTAAATATAACTGCATTTGCGAATTTAGACGTAATCTCTTCTCTTGTGGGTAGTTTATAATGTTCTCGACAAATCTCTTTATTCAGATTTCTCGGATCAAGGCATATTCTGATTTTTCCATTACTGCGATATACAGGACATAAACTGTTAACCCAATCTGTTGGCTCTTCTACTCTGGCAATAATACCATTACTCTCCATTTTCTCTAATTCTACTTTCAATGTTTCTTGAACTGCAAATGGTATAACTCGACAGGCTTCAACTACAGGAACAGCATCTTCTTTTAATTTAATATTTACTTCTCCTGGTAGACATCCTTGACCAGTAAACAAATCAGAATAATCTTCGAAAAATTTAACAGACTTCTGTGACTGATTATTTGAAACTGTATAAACTAATTTCACCAATTCCATTCTTTCACAAGCCTTTCTTCCAAGTATAGGTTTCACATTACCTTCACATATCATAAATAAAGTCTTGTAAACATGATCTTTATGTTTGACATCTAAACAGCATTGACCAAGAACAGGAATATCTGTATTATTAAAAGCTTTCAATCTTGTTTTGGTTTTCATCAATTTAGGCTTCTTCTTTAATTTTTTAAATTCTGTCTTGCCTAAAACATTAACATCTGAACCAGAATCAAGATTCATAACCATTATTGTATCATTTATATCTGTTTGAACTGTCCAATCTTCATTTGTATTCTTCTTCTCTACTGAACCAATAAAAAATACATTATCATCCTTTTCATCATCTTCATAATCTGCATCTACATTATTAACTCTTCTACCACCATTCTTATATCTTCTATTCTGTTGTTGATTATTATTACCATGTTGATAATTACTGTAGTTATTTCTGGATCTTGCTCTATCTGACGAATTGGTTATATTACCTCGGCACATCTTTTGAAAATGGTTGAACCCATTACATCGGTTACATCTCTGACCCGAGGCTGGACATTCACCTCCTCTATGTTGAAAATAACCACAAGCTTTACATCTAGTTGATCTATCTGTAGAATAATTACGATCAGGTGGTTGTGGTGGAGTAGGATTAAATGACCTCTGTCGAAAACTAGTCTTTCTATGTCTGTTATTGTGAACACCATGAACTTGATTAGTAGAACTTTCACTTTCAGCAACTGACTTCTCTGACATCTGTTTAAGAAATAATTGAGTTCCCTCAGCTGTTCTACACATATCTATACATCTGTCAAGTGTTAAGTCACCTTCACTCAATAATTTAGCTTTGATATGAACATCTCTTAACACCTTCAATAATTCTGTCACGTAAAAGACCATCTTTTAATTCACCATGTTGACAATCCCTAGCTAATATACGTAATTCTGTTAAGAACTGGTCAAATGATTCATCAGGATTTTGTACTCTATGATTAAAAACAGACCTTTCAAAAGTTTCATGTTTTTTAGGGTTACAAAATTGTTCAAATCTCTGGACCAGTGGATCAAGCTTCTCTTCTTCATCTGCATGAAATGTGAATGTATTAAATAATTCTATAGCTTCTTCGCCTGCAAGACTTAAGAATACAGCATGTTGTGACCTTTGGCTCTTGGAATCTCTCCCAGTGGCTACCATATAAAGCTTGAATTGTTGATAAAATCTTCTCCAGTTTTCAGCTTTGTTGCCTTTCGTCAAAATTAGATGTTTTGGTGCAGGAATTTCAGACATTTTAGGTTCAATCTACTCCTTCTCCAGTTTTCAGCTTTGTTGCCTTTCGTCAAAATTAGATGTTTTGGTGCAGGAATTTCAGACATTTTAGGTTCAATCTACTCCTTACTTCTGACACCATGTAATATACTTGTGTTTTATGTCAAATGTGTCTGTGTAAAGGACTACAAAATGAGTATAACAGTAACAGCAAGGTTTATTCAGTCAGGCGAGCACATGGCATGTTTTACAATACAGTTGTATCATGGACAATCTCTGGTCTAACTGTTAAAGGGAACTAACTATAAATGATTAGTCTTATAGGATTCAGACAACTGAATATTAATGTATAATATCCTTACAGGTATGACTACCTCTGATTATGCCAAAATTTTCTCTACCATTGCCGAGGAAAGCGATAATTATACATTGACTGGTACCAGTAATAGTATTGTAGCTGCCCGGGTGTCGTATGTGTTCAATTGGACCGGTCCATCAATGATGATAGACACCGCCTGTTCATCATCTCTGGTTGCTGTCCATCTAGCTTGTCAAGCTTTACGATCAGGTAGGTTTACATAAATGTAATTTATTGAAATAAGTGCAATATTTTTGTTTTACTGATGAATTCTTTTGTAAAGCAAAGCATGAAATATTCCATGATGAGCATAATACAGAAACCAAGCACAAAACCAGGGCTCAAAATTCAAACAAAATCGAGAAACAGGAAATAATAAATAATAATAATAATAATGTTTCCTCAGGAGAATGTGATATGGCTATAGCAGGTGGGGTCAACTCACTGATGACACCAGATATATTTATACAACTAAGTAAAGCTGGTATGATATCGCCTACGGGAAAATGTCAGGCTTTCTCTGAAAATGCTGATGGATACGCCAGGGGTGAAGGGTGTGGCATTATTATCTTAAAACCACTAGAACAGGTATATAATTTTTATATTTGAAATGTTTGTATAACTTTTATATATTGGCTTTGTAGCTAGACCAATCATTAATTCGTAACACCCCACCCCCAACAACCTTCTGTTACTTTTTCAGTCCTTCATTCCCTGTTAAGTCCATAAGAATGTGCTGAGGTACACGTTATTTACAAAATAGAAAACTTTCGATAACTTTATATGGTGTTTACTTGATATTATTTGTGTTTTTGGTAGGCTTTGAAAGATAATGATCCTATCTGGGGGACTATTGTTACAGCTGTCAACCATGATGGCCAAACAGTCACACCAATCACAGCACCATCTCCCCAGCAACAAGAATCACTACTCGACATAGTGTTTGACAGATATAGAATTAATCCAGAATCAGTAGACTATATCGAAGCACACGGTGAGTTAAAGATCAATGCAGCTTTTTTATACACCCACATTTTCATGTGGACTATATTGTCACCCCTGCACGTCCGTCCACGATATTGGCATGTATCGGATCGTAACTTTTTGAATTATGTCCCCTGATTGTACGAAAAATCGCGTGTTTAGCTTGTGGTCCCTCTAGAAGTCACAATTATTATCTGAATTAAAAACAACGTTCGAATATATAACCGTTACCCCGTAATGTTGGTTGAGTTCTAATTTCATGAAAATCGCACCAAAACTGCCAGACAAAATGCCCCACCCCCTCCCGTACGCAAATAGTGTAAACATCTGGTATATCGAGGTATATCAAGGTTGTGGGCGTATCCTGCCTGGCAGCCGCTGGTTCAATCAGATAATAATTATGACCTCTAGAGGGGCCACAAGCTAAAAACGCGATTTTTCGTACAATCAGGGGACATAGTTCAGGAAGTTAAGCTCCGATATGCGCAAATATCACAAGCAACCAAGACCTGTGAGTTATAAACATGCATTTCAAGTTCCATGAAAATCAGATCAAAATTGTTACCTCTATAGGGTCCACAACCTTGATATACCATATTCTTACGCTATTTGAGAACGAACGGGCGCCATTTTGTCTGTCAATTTTGGGCCGATTTTCACGAAATTCGAACTCAGTCGTCCTTAGGGTGTAACGGTGATATAATAATACGGTTTTTTTTTAAATCGGATACAAATTATGACCTCTATAGGGTCCACATGCTAAAAACTCGATTTTTCGTACCATCAGGGACCATAATTCAGGAAGTTATGGTCCGATATGCGTGAATATCGAAAGGATCCGAGATCTTTGGGTTATAAACTTACATTTTAAGTTTCAACAAAATCGGATAAAAATTGTGACCTCTATAGGGTCCACAACCTTGATATGCCATATTCTTACGCTATTTGAAAACGAACGGCGGCCATTTTGTCTGTCAATTTTGGGCCGATTTTCACGAAATTCGAACTCAGTCGTCCTTAGGGTGTAACGGTGATATAATAATACGTTTTTTTTTAAATCGGATAAAAATCATGACCTCTATAGGGTCCACAAGCTAAAAACGCCATTTTTGTACATTCAGGGCCCATAATTCAGGAAGTTACGGTCCGATATGCGCGAATATCGAAAGGAATCGAGATCTTTGGGTTATAAACTTACATTTCAAGTTTCAACAAAATCGGATAAAAATTGTGACCTCTATAGGGTCCACAAGCCAAAAACGTGATTTTTCGTACAAACAGGGGCCATAATCCATGAAGTTTCGATCCGATACATGCCAATATCGAAGGCAGCCGAGATCTTTTCGAGATAAACCTATATTTCAAGTTTCGTTAAAATCGGATAAGAATTGTGACCTGTAGAGTGTCCACAAACAAATTTTGGACGGACGGACAGGGGCGACGGCATAATACGTCCACATGAAAATGTGGGTGTATAAAAAACTGTTCGAACGTTACACCGTAATATTGTTTGAGGTCGCTTTTGTGAAAACCGGACAAAAACTGCCAGACAAAATGGCCGCCCCTCCACGCAAATAGTGTAAACATCTGGTATATCAAGGTTGTGGACCCTTTAGAGGTCACTATTTTGATCCGATTTGATAAAACTTGAAATGCATGTTTATAACCCAAAGATCTTGGTTGCTTTCGATATTTGCGCATATCAGATCGTAACGTCCTGAATTATGGCCCCTGATTGTACGAAAAATCGTGTTTTAGAGGTCACAATTATTATCTGATTTTCAAAAACGTTCGAATATATCACCGTTACACCGTAATGTTGGTTGAGTACGCAGATTGTGTAAACATCTGGTATATCAAGGTTATGGACCCTCTAGAGGTCACAATTTTGGTGCGATTTTCATGAAACTTGAAATACATGTTTATAACCCACAGATCTTGGTTCCTTTTGATATTTGCGCATATCGGATCGTAACTTCCTGAATTATGGACCTTCATTGTACAAAATTAAGAGGTCACAATTTTTGTCCGATTTAACGAAAACTAAGATCTTGGTTCCTTTTGATAATCGCGCATATCCTAACGTAACTTCCTTGATTATGGCCCCTAATTGTTCGAAAAATTGCATTTTTAGCTTGCGGATTCTCTAGATGTCACAATTTTTTTCCGATTTTAAAAAACGTTTAAATATATCACCATTCCACCATAATGAAGGTTGAATTCGAATTTCTGGAAAATTGAAATGAAACTGTCCATCAAAATCGCCGCTCTTTGTACGCAAATTGTGTAAAAGTATGTAATACGAAGGTTGTGGACCCTCTAGAGGTCACAATTTTTATCCGATTTGATGAAACTTGAAATGTATGTTCATAACCCAAAGATCTCTGTTCTTTTCGATATTCGCGCATATCGGACCATATCTTCCTGAATTGTACAAAAAATCACATTATATTTTTAACTCGTTCTCTGTCCATCTCTTGAAAAATGTGGGCGTATCTTGCATGACAACCGCGTGTTTTAAATAACGCGGTCTTACTCTTTTTGGAACACCTGCTGTCATTTCTTATTTGAGGACTTCACTTAGCTTACATTTTTGTTGTGCAAACCACAAAAACGAATTTACTAAAAGCCTCGAGATTGTTGTAAACAAGATTTTATCATATACAAATGTTAGGGCGTACTATATTCAAACTTGTTTATATTCACTGGCTCAGGTAATATATACGTGTATATGACATTATGTAATTGGTATTATTTTGATTAATTCCTATTGTAGGGACCGGAACCAAAGCAGGTGATCCAGTAGAAGTAACAGCTCTTGGTAAATTCTTTCAGAAAGATACAAATTCCAAACAGAGACTAATAGGATCTGTAAAAACTAACATTGGACATCTAGAATCGGGTGCTGGTGTAGCTGGTCTAATTAAAGTTTTACTGATGCATAAACATCGGGAAATCGTCCCATCCCTTCATTTTGATAAACCCAGTGAGAATGTTCCTCTTGATAAATATAACCTGAAGGTACCAACAGAAGTTCAGCCCTGGCCCAAAACCGATAATGGGTATATGCGATCTTGTGTAAATAGTTTTAGTTTCGGTGGTACTAACAGCCATGCTATTATCACAACCCACATGAACCCGTCAAATGAATTAGAAAATTATGACACCTCAACATCTCAATTACCCAGGATTGTTTGCTTGTCGGCACGTGATCTCTCCTCCTTACATATGATCAAATCGGTTTTCTGCGAAACCGGAGAAGCTTATAAAATTGAGGATGTTTCGTATACCACTATGTATAGACGAAACCATTTCCCGTTTCGTGTTGCTGTCGTTGGCACTAACATGAAACAAATTATTCAAAAATTGAAAGAAATTGACTTAGAACACAAAAACAGAACAGATCCTCTTTCTAAGAAGAAAATTATTTTGGTCTTCGCTGGAATGGGAACAAACTGGAAAGGAATGTGTCAGTCTTTAATGAAACATTCTACTATATTCAAAGATACTATAAATGGTGTGTCAGATTTATTGAAACAATTTGTTTCAGGGGATTTGTGTGATGCATTTCAGACCGGCTTTAACCTGGATGATCCTTATGTAGCCCCAATCATGACATTCGCGTGTGAAGTTGGTGTATATGCTATGGTCAAAGAATTTGGTGTAGTGGCAGATGCTATCGTTGGACAATCTATAGGTGAAGTTGCAGCAGCGTATGCATCCGGAGCTCTTACCCTAACACAAGCAGTTTGTGTTATTTATCATAGAACTAAATATCAAGCCGAAGCAACAGGGGGTAAAATGTTTGTAGTCAGAAATATGAAGATTGCTGACGTAAAGTCTTTAATGGAGACATTTAAAACACAAGCAAACATATCCTTGTTTTACAACCCATCCTGTTGCACAATCAGTTGTGATGATGAAGTCGTTCATTTGATCAAATCTCGGTTGAAAGAAATAGAACGCCGTGTAGAATTCATGGATTTAAATGTGACAAGCGCATTTCACTCACACCATATGAACGATTGTGCAAAGAAGTTGGCTACTGCCTTTACTCTTGACGGAACTCCACCTACAACGCCAATAGTATCATCGGTAAGCGGGAAAATGGCCGTTGGTGCAGATTTCATCACGTCTGAATACTGGGCGAAAAACGTCAGGAACCCAGTGTTGTTTCACCAGTCTATAGTAGAAGTTCACGAACCCGATAAAATTAATATATTTATAGAAATTGGACCGAAGCCGATTTTAAAGGCGCACATTAGGGAAATCTTTGAACAACATCCTGTTGCTATTGCCATACCAACAATACAGAAAAATGATGAAATAATATCTATAACAAAGGCTGCAGCATCTCTATATGAGTATGGAGTAAATATTAAATGGGAGGATGTTCTAAAATGTTTAGGAAAAGTTCTGGAAGTTCCCCGATACCAGTTCAACCGGGTTCCAAATTGTTACATTCCCAATATAGCAAGAGAAACACTCATGGGTTTTATTTCTAAAACACACCGTCATCCATTTCTGAAATTACTCGGTTCAGATTCTAGAAATTATAAAGTTCTATTAGACCCGACTCGCATTGGTTCTATCTATGAACATAGAATAAATGGAATAGTGGTGATACCTGGTGCATTCTATGCAGAAGTGGGATTAGCTATTGCTGCCACAAAATCTCCCCGCTTATTATTCGAAGAAATCAGTGTTGACTTTAAAAACCCACTTGTTTTGATGAACCGAAAACCGGAAGAGCTTGATGTAGAAACAGAAAACATAAATCAGGAGATACAATTCAGAATCTTTAAAGGGACCAAAGTTTATTCTACGGGTACTATTAAATCTTATACTAGTGGATCTGCTGTTGATAATTTAGATTTAGATTATATCCGAAGCAGATGTAGTAGTTTGCTAACACCAGAAGACATGTACACTAATTTAGCTTCTTATGGCTTTCAATATGGAAAGGCAATGACCATTTTGAAAAGGGGCGTAAAGAATAACAATAGCAACGAGGCTTTAGTGGAATTTAAGTTGAATGGACTTCTAAAAGAAGAAATGGAAGGAACGATACTGCACCCGGCTATAATAGATGGTCTCCTTCAAACACCTAGCGTTTTCGGCTCAAACGAATACGACTTTAAACTGCTTCCTGCCCATTTGAACCAAATTCGGGTCTTGCGGGAAGTACAAGATCAAATGTTTTGCTATGTTAAGAATCTAACAAAAACACCAACAACGTCAACTTACTTAATCCATCTTTGTGCTGACAATGGCGACATCATAGCTAGTATTTTGGAATTCACTATTAAAGTCATTGGCATCAATCGGGAGAAAACTAAAGAATATTTTTACAAACAAAATTGGAAAAAAGTTCTTCTCGTCGACCATAACACAAGTTTTCACGCGAGCGGCGGTAACATCTCTCAAGACGAAGGCCCTTGCTGGATTATTATGGAAAACAATATTAACTTATCGGCGGTTTTCAGCACCCAAATTAAAAAGCACAAAAATATAGCAATAATGATGGACGAATTCAAAGATCAAATAGTTAATAAGCGTGACATACAGACTTTTGTGGAAACAAAATTATTCCGACTCCGAAATATTTTAATACATCTTCACGAAAATACTGAAAACTGCAGGGTTGTAGTTATTACGAGGAACACCTGGACTGTTACTACCGATAAAAGCAACTATGCTGAAACGTCAAATTGTAACCCAATTCAACTTTCAATATGGGGATTTCTTAGATCAGTTCAAAGAGAAACCATGTCTTTTCAACTCTACATTGTTGATTTACAGGATTATAGTAATGAGCAGATATCCGAGACCGGAATCTTGGAATTTTTAATGTGTGAATTTTCGAACAATCTTAAAAACCAGGGTGAAATTCTGGTCACAGCGGGTGCAGTATATTCATTCGAATGTACGGGCTTTTATGAAATGAAAGATTACATTGAACGAGACCAGTCCTCATTAGGCGATTTTGAAATGTTTTCTTCACAGAAAGACAATATACAAGATCGTTTTCAAATGTATCCTTGCCACGAAAGAGGAAATGCTAACCCAATTAATACAGTTGTAATGCGCGTGGACTTCTTGGTTGTCCAAAATCCAGATTTATACCCCTATTGTTTCGATTCCCAAGAGCAAGAAGACACCAACGAACCAACCAAATTTCCTATCTATTGCCTCGAGACGCTTTGCTATGAAGAAAACAATCAAAATGATTTTTATATATCATGCTATACCGTACATGCATCAAACAGGATACAGGTACCTAAATCCTGTTGTATACCACTGTCACTAATACCCGGGTACCACCCTGGATTAATAACAATCTTCGTAACTATGTGGCATATATGTGAGCATATAACATCCAAGTCTGTTGTCTTATTTTGCGAAGATAACACTTCATTATATGAAGAAATTATATGCTTAATGCTGCGATATAGGAAAGTTAAAACTACTCGAGTTTCTCGAAACACCAACAATCTAACAACTGAATGCGACTTAATAAATCTAACACGATTAGACAAAAGTATAATTCTACAATTTGCTAAAGTGAGAAGATTTACTAGCCTTTCTGCTCTTGTGACACAAGACTGCTTACGTCTATTATATCACCACATGCGAGATTCGGAAATTGAAGTTTTAAGGGAATTGGACATATTTTCACACAGAAAGCTCACATCTACCATGCCAAAGATGACAAAATGGTTGCAGAATTCAACTAGAGATGTACAAATGATTATAAATAAATATAGAGCATTCACGGAATCTGCAGATTATCTGACCAAGTTGTTTTCTCGAAAGGAAATCACCATTGACCAATCACCATTACGCTTAAGACCACCAGATCGAATACTCAATAAATCGGCTGCTTATGTAGTTGTTGGTGGTTTAACTGGACTTGGGTGGCAGTGTGTTAAATGGCTGGCTGAACATAACGCTGGGTTTATTGCTTGTTTCAACCGCAGAAATCCCACCAGGGACGACGAGATCAAAATGGAAATATTATCCGATAAATGCTGTTGTAAGATTTTTGCTGTACAAACAGACGTAACAAATTTTATTTCTTTGGAAGGGTCGTTTGAAGAGCTCATGCACCAATTCCCGATGAACCCCGTTAAAGGCGTGATCTTCGGAGCAGGTGTATTGAGAGATTCTACATTGATTAACATGACGGAGAAACAAATAACAGAAGTCTTAGATCCTAAAATTGCTGGGGCTTGGAACATGCACTTAGCAACAGAAACCAAAAATATTAAATTGGATTTCTTTATTCTTCATTCTTCAATAACATCAGTATTCGGGGCACCAGGGCAGAGTAATTATGGGGCGGGAAATGCTTTCCAGGACAGCTTAGCATTTTATCGCCGATCAAAGGGATTACCCGCACAAAGCATAAACTGGGGACCTTTAGACATGGGAATGTTGGAAAATGTCAATGATAATTTGCGTAATAGACAAAGACTAGAAAAGCAAGGTTACCGTCTAATTTGCAAAGACGATATTGGACATTGCCTAGAATCTGCCATTTTATCAGATCTTCCACAGATTATTGTAACTGATCTAAATTTAGAGGTCCTTAAAACTACTCTGTTGGGGAACAAAGACATGTTTGCCATAGAAAAGCTTCGTGGTACATTACAGAAATCTGGAAATATCACTGAAGTAACTGCGGACACAAATTCTGAAACAATACAAATAAGTACCCACGTTTTACAGTCAGCAACTACCGAAGAAAGAATATCAATGATCGAATCTTACATTTCTCAATTAGTATGTAAAGTTCTGATTTTAGATGAAAACAGTTTATCGTCGAACAACTGTCTAGTGGATGAAGGAATGGATTCAATGTCAGCTATGACAGTTGTGAACGAAGTAAAGAAGAATATTAGCTCCACAATACCTATTAGTTTATTATTTTCACCAGATACAACTGTAGCTAGTCTTTCAAGTTTTATAAATGAGAATATCAGGAGTAGCAATGAGGTTGACTGTCAAGATGACAACGTTAACAACCAACAAACCATATCCCACATGGAATACAGATATTACAAATTAAACCAAAATCCACAAGCTTGCAAAGCATTCCACCTATTATTTGATATGGAATTTTCAGATTTAAGCCTGGATAAAGAGAAAATGAACAGTTTGTTGTTGGAAATAACGAACAGAAATCCTATTCTTAGAACAACTTACTCAGGAGTATTGCGTCCAGGAGGCTCAAAAGAGGACATCAAAAGAAATCTGATTGAAGCAAACCAAGCACTTGATCTGATTGTAATCGACAAAGACACTCGAAACATCGATGAAGCATTTGAAAAGGAAAGTATGGAACACTTTGATTTGAAGTCCAAAGGACCCGTCCGTTTCATATACCACACAAATGGTTCATCTATGCGAATCGCCATTATATGCAATCACATAGCATTTGACATACAAGCGATGAACATGTTATTGAAGGAATTCATAAACTGCTTGAAAAGTGCCTGTATGTACGGCGACCTTAAACATCTTCCAATACCAACATCTGAAAATAATAGATTGGCAGCGAATATAATGCATGGGGAACTAGAATCATCATCTAGTGCGATGAAGAGTTTTTGGAAAGAGGAGCTATCTAAGGGCGTCCCGTTGATTTCTATCGATTCTCCCAAAAGATGTGACTTACACGGTCTTTCAGTTACAGCTCATAGACAATTATCTGGAGTACTACACAATAATCTAAGTAGACTAAGCAAGACACTACGGACAACAACCCCTAAGATAATGATGTCTATGTATCAGCTGTTTTTGAGTCTTCGGTCTGGAAATCGTAGAGTATTTATTATTCTACCCGAAGACCTTCGGGGGTTATTACCAGCTACTAAAAACTTTATGGAATGCTTAATAAACCATATTCCAATTTTTGCAGATATAGAACATTCCATGTCCGTGAAAGATTTTCTTGTTACTAACTCCAAACACGTCAATGACATTCTTGATAACAGTCTGTTTCCCTATGATGAAATAGAAAAACTTATACCTAAGGATGCTAACAAAGACTTGTACCGCCATGTTTTGACTTTTAACGATTATTCATTTGTTGATCAATTAACAGCAATGAAGGATGGAATTGAACTGCAAGTGAAAGAAACCAATAATGAACATATTTTTGGCGAATCCTTTTTATTCGTTTTCACTAAATTTAATGCCCAAACAACGTCACTAAAGCTGCAGTTGTGTGCAGAGATGTACAGTCAATCTGATGTAGAAGATCTTATTGACCAAATTATTGAACTTTTACAAGAAATGGTTGATCAGCCCGAAATTAAAATCGGACAGCTAAAAATGGCAGCACCTAAAGAACATTAGAGGGTATGTTGGTTTTCATCTTTGTCTGTGAAAGGTAACTGAAACATGTAGCAGTGTAAAAAAAACTATTTTAAAAAGTTTTAATTATATACTGTGTGGTTCCGATATGCGTTGCTAGACTTTGTTATGCCAATAAGATTCAGAATATTATTATAGTCAATTATGGAAAATGAACACAATATATTATCATTGCAGGGAAATTCTGACGAGAAACATCTACAAGAATGTGACAAATGATGGTGTAAAAAGAATTTAAGTGACGGCATTCAATGTTATTTTAAAGAAAGGGAAAGTAATAGGCTGGTATGAGTACTTCGAATTTACGTAAGCGGGGGGGGGGGGGGGGAAATCCGGAACAAACGATTCTTGCTTTTTATGAAAGGTCTATATGAGTACAACTTCAGGGGAAAAAAATCCACCGAAAATCGGCCATGGGCAAAAAGAGTTATAGGCGTTTTGGTTTTCGTACCCATTCGACTTATCAATCCACCATTTCGTCTCTTTTTCTTTGGCATTCCGAGGATATATTTGTGCATCACAAATGCCTATCCGCTATTAGACAATCGACACAAGTTAGTAGATTCCCATGTTGGGAAATTCTGATTGTAAAGACATCCATGATTGCCCCACCCAAAAGGCTAAGTTCAATCAGCGCATTTACTAGCTGCATGAAATTGTTTGCATAATGTTCAGCATTGTCACGAGCATCAGAAGTGACACTGTCAGATATTTTCAGTGTTGAGGTAAACTCGTCAGGCGCCTCTAATTGCCCCACACCCATATGCAAAATTTTCAGCAAATTTACATATATCAAAAGACCACCTTCAGACATTTCAGTGGTGGGCTTTCTCCGCAGGCCTGGGCGATTTATCTACTACTACTCAATACTAACTAAATGCTACCTCATTATTGTGGGAAACTACCATAATACTTCAATTATGTTGGGTGGTATTGGGTAAACTTCCTACCGTCCCCTCCAGACGCTCCTATTTCCCCAACACCAAAGGCTAAGAGAGAGAGAGAAATGGGGTTTAACTACCACTCGACACAACTAGGTCATTTCGGGACTAACATATGGTTTAATTTTATTTCAATAATTCGCCTGCGCATAGGGGTCTTTAGCAGTGGGAGGAAACCCACGAGGTTGGACAGGCGACCCTACTCCTTGTCACGTACAACCGGGGATTCAAAACCACGCCAGTCGACTCAATGACAGACTTTATGATACAGCGCGCGCTAACCATTCAGCCACCGGAACCTAACTTCCTGACTTTTGGCCCCAGATTGTCCGAAAAATCGCCCTTTTTAGCTTGTGGTCCCTCTGGAGATCACAATTATTACCGGATTTAAATAAAAACGTTTGATTATATCACCGTTACACCGTAAGGAAGGTTGAGTTAGAATTTCGTGAAAATCGGACCAAAATTACCGGACAGAATGGCCGCCGTTTGTACGCGAATAGTGTAAAAATATGGTATATCAAGGTCGTGGACCCTATAGAGGTCACAATTTTTATCCAATTTTGTTGAACCTTGAAATGTAAGTTTATAACCCAAAGATTTCGGTTACTGTCGATATTCGCGCATATCGGATGTAACTTCCTGAATTATAGCCCCTGATTGTACGAAAAATCGCGTTTTTAGCTTGTGGATCCTATAGAGGTCATAATTTTTATCCTGTTTAAAAAAAAAACGTTTGAATATATCACCGTTACAACCTACGGGTGGCTGAGTTCGAATTTCGTGAAAATCGGACCAAAACTGACAGACAAAATGGCCGCCCCTCGTACTCAAATAGCGTAAAAAAAAATATGGTATATCAAGGTTGTGGATCCTCTAGAGGTGACAATTTTCTTCTGATTTTGATGAAACTTGAAATGTAAGTTTATAACCCAAAGATCTTGGTTCCTTACCATATTTGCGCAATATCGGATCGTAACTTCCTGAATTATGGCCCCTGATTAGCTTGTTCTCTATCCATCTCTTGCAAAATGTGGGCGTATCCTGCCTGGCAGCCGCTGGTTCAGTAGTGGTGTATCCCAGCCAGAAGTCTAATTGCTCCACCCAAAAACTAATGTAAATTACCACATGGCTAACGTATAAAATGTATCTGAAAACCATCAACATATTCCATCGAATCATAAATGGCCACTCCCAAGTATTTTCAGTGAACATACGAACTGTAAATCGGACCGTTTCCAACAATAATTGACTGACCGCGCTCACTGTAACTCTTTATGGCGAGAACGAACGCATCCCTTGATGACCCTAATGATTCTGATCATGAATCCTTGACAGACGAATCCAATTCCGATCCAAAAGAGGACGAGTATACTAGTCTTTTTTTAGATGCTCACTGACTATTGAATTACCTGATACAGGACATTTCAGATGTTTATTTCTGACGAAGTGTCGATGCAAATTCTCTCGTCGCTATTATTGAAATGGTAAAGAGATCAGCGTCACCACTCACCAGCTCTCCTCCACATTACCCCCTGATACATATAACACTCTTCGCGACAGATTGAAGCCAATGCCAAACTACACATCCTGGTGAAATGCAGCCATACCAATAATATCAACCATCTAAAAATCTATCCAAGCACCTACTAGAACATCTCAGAATGAATATATTACGAAAACTGTTATCAATCTTAGACTCCTCACAGGTAACAACCACTCCAAAAGAGAACACGAAGCTGCAATAATGGATATAGCTGACTATGTCAGCATTGTCAACAAGACGGGTAACGAAAAAAAACCTTTCCGCTCATCAAACTTAACACCCGAAACACGTTTGGCACAACCAAAATCAACCTAAATCCGAGACTGTCTACCACAAAACAGTCCAATACCTTTCGAATTTTTATTCTTACTGGACTCCAAAGACTTTTGTAATAACATCAACGTAACTTCCCCCCCCCCCCCTACACTTTACTAGACCAGCGTAATGGTAATAAGTTCACTATATATACAGAAAAATCCAAAAACTACCGTAAAGTACCTAAAACAAATTTGATACCCGAAATACCAAAAAATCACTAAAATACCGAAAAAACAACACTATTTACCGAAAAAAAAACTAGGCCACACATAAAAATTGTTTTGTGGGTCATGGGTCAGGCTAGGTCACGCATAAAATAAAGAGAAAAATTGGTCATGGGCAAGGGTAAGGGTGAGTAAGACGATGGCTCGCTAGCCTAGAGGTCTCGCCAGTTCGATCCCGGTGTTGGCCGAGAAAGATCATCGGGGTTTTACAAGGATTATTCATTTTGAGGTCGGATACCAAAACCAAATCGTCCGTAAAGAAATTGCCCAAGGTAGATTGCGGTGGTTTCTTTTCTTGGGTACTATGTACATACCTCCTTACTAAAAAGCAAAAATCATTTGTTCGGAATTTTTTTCTCCAGGTTGTAGTGTCTCCTATCAGCCAAGTTATATTCATGGTTTAAATATAATGGTCGTACACAACTCTTTGGATTATTTTATTTGCAAAATAAAGTCTGATTTCTGAAATAGATATTATAGGTAAAATTAATTATATTTATGATATGTTCGTTAAAAAAGTATTAACATTAGTGTTACTTTGCTCTTATTTTGTAAACAAATTTTCACAAGTTGATTTCCTTTTTTTTGTTAATGTAGAATGGTAATGAACTGCTCTTTTCATTTTCTTTGTTTCGTTTGAATTTGATTTATCAGTTTAGTTTTTGATTGTTTAATTTTTGTTAATGAAGTTGATTCTTTTAAACTTCGTTTTTATTTTTATACGTCCACATTCATAATGTGAACGTATTATGCCGTCGCCCCTGTCTGTGTGTGTGTGTGTGTGTGTATGTATGTATGTGTGTGTGTGTGTGTGTGTGTCTGTGGTTCGCCTACAGGGCGCAATTCTTCATGGATTTTCTTCAAACTTGGTATACTTATTCCTTATACCCCAAGGAAGATCCCTATTGTTTTTGGTGCATGCCCGACCCCCCGGGGCAGAGCCACGCCCATTTCTAGTATTTGTTTGTTTGTCGTCTACAGGCCACATTTCTTAACTAATAATCTTGAAACTTTGCATACACATTCTTTGTACCCTAAGGAACATCCCTATCGTTTGGGGTGCATGCCCAACCCCCAGGGGCAGAGCCACGCCCATTTTCTTTTCGTGTGTCTTTGTGTCGCCTACAGGGCGCAATTCTTACTGGATTTTCTTCAAACTTGGTATACTTATTCCTTATACCCCAAGGAAGATCCCTATTGTTTTTGGTGCATGCCCGACCCCCAGGGGCAGAGCCACGCCCATTTCTAGTATTTGTTTGTTTGTCGTCTACAGGCCACATTTCTTAACTTATAATCTTGTTTTCTATTATTTTTGGTGCATGCCCGACCCCCTGGGACAGAGCCACGCCCAAAATTTGTGTGCCTTTTGTGTCGCCTACAGGCCGCCCAATTTTTATGTTTATCGTTTACTTGGCAGATGTATTCCTTATAGCCTAAGGGCATCAACTATTGATTTTGGGGAATGCCCCGACCCCCAGGGACAGAGCCACGCCCAATTTTTGCCTTTAACGCCCAAAGGCCACAATTTTGAATGGATTATCTTGGAACTTGGTATACTTATTCCTTATACCCTAAGGACGGCAACTATTGATGTTGTCATTTCAATAACAGGATATGGTCCCTATTTATATTGTTTCCATATCCAACCCCCACGGGCAGAGCCACGCCCAGTTTTTGTATTTATCGTCTACAGGCTGCAATTCTGAATGGATCATCTTGGAACTTTGCATATTTATTCCTTATACCATAAAGACAGCAACTATTTATTTTGATGCTTGCCCCGACCTACTGGGGCAGTCTCACACCCACTTTGTTAGTATTTTGTCTGTAAATTTGGCAAAACAAACCCGACGCCTAGCCTTCTTTGCCTCTGATCATATTACAGGCATTTCATATTTCATTCTCTTCATTTTAAAAAGTACCATATCAATCAAAGCTGGAATGTGGACGTATATTGCAGCGTTAGCGATGCTCTTGTTGAACTCTACTTGGTGTAGGTGTTCATCAGGTAATACCTCGACTGAGTTCAATGTAGAGATTAGCCGGTTGATTTGTTGGATATAAACCTTTGAATAATAGCGCCTAACAGGCAGCTGTGTTTAATTATGTTCTCCTGATTTTGATTGTTTTTGTGTGTTTGAAGTATATGTTTGTGATATGCGCTTAGAAACACTTCACGTGTAATGAAGCGCTATATAAATCGAACAATAATAATAATGGTTATATTCTAGCGAGGACAAATTGATTTTTTTCTGTTTTGATATTCCTATGGGATTTACTTACTTCTGTTAGTAGTAATGTTATCACCCCCCCCCCCCCCCGCGCACACACACTCACCCACGCACTCATATACCCCCACATACACACAAACACCAGAGCTAGTGGAAATATGTGTAAACACTTATTTGAAAAATACATTTAGGTCTACATTAGTTACTTTAGGAACTGTCTCTGATCGGACGATATCCGCTGACAGTTCCAATCGCTTCCTATATAGCTGCTATATGAAAATACGTTAAAATACCGCTCTTCACCAACTCTGTTCTCAGGCTATTTTGGAAACCTTGCCTTCTATTTTACACCGTGAATGTTTGTTTTTTGCAAAAAGGAATCATTTCTCCTCATATCTGACACAAATTTATAATAATTCAACATTATGTTCAAGTAGAGTTTAGCGATTAAATAAACATGCGGTCCCCTGCGCATGTTCGAGTCTCGTAATGGCTGATCAGTTCAAACTTATTTTGTGTATGTTTTTAATCGCAGAATTCTACTTGAAAATAGTGTTCAATTATTATAAATGTGTGTCAGCTGTGGCAAGAAATGATTCCTTTGGCAAACAAAGAAGAATCGGGCTGACAAATAGTCGGTAAGGATTCCAAAAGGTGGGGATGATAAATGGTATTTTCATATTACAGTTATATAGGGAACTGTCAGCGGATATCGTCCAATCAGAGACAGTTCCTTAAAAGGACAATAACACTCTTGCTGGCTTAACAGCTCCAAAAAAAATAAAAAAATAACCTTATTCTAAGTACTAGATGTGTTAGTGTCCTACCTGTTGTGTAAATTATCCATTAAATCCTATTTTACTTGTCCAGAGGGTTCAAAAATATTTTTAAATCCAAGTCACATTTGAACAGCTTTACGTCAGGCTTTTCAAATCATTTAGTTGAATTTTTTCAATTTTTTAAATTAGATGTGTTAAGATGAAATTTGTATCATCAATTAATTGGAATATTGTAAAATAGTGCAATTTGTTGACCAGAATAAAGATTGGAACATATTATTCAGTTACAACAAGAGTGGTATTGAGCCTTTAAAGGAACAGGTCTACGCGTGTTGTTGAATGTGTAAAAGCGAAATATTTTCTTATCTTGAACTGTAGTACTGTTTTTATAATACATGAATAACATGTTTTATTGTAACTATTGAATAAACGCAAGACATATCGTATTCTATGTTTTATTGAATTTGAATAGAAACCGAAAACCCATTAACACCCCGCGTGGGAAACGTCTTTCAAATATTGTGAAAATGTTGAAAATAAAATTGACGTTATTATTGTGTTATTAAACATGGAGTATTCTCATTATGTTCTTCGGTTGCTAAACAACGCAATAGAAACCAGTAATGTATTGTAATTTGTCTATAGCGTAATTCATAAATATATCTCATGTGAAAAGGCTCAATCTAACTACGGTAGTTCTACTTGTCTGGTGGGTGTAAGGGATCAATAACCAGCGGTTGCCAGGCAAGTTACGCCTACATTTTGTAAGAGATGCATAGAGAACAGACCAAAAACAAAAACGATTTTTCGTACGATCAGGGACCATAATCCAGAAAGTTATGGTCTGAAATGCGCAAATATCGACAGGGACTGGGGTCTTTGGGATATAAAGACATAGGATCTGTCAGCGGACATCGTCATCAAAATCGGATAAAAAATATTGTGACCTCTGGAGGGCCCACAAACTTTGTATTACATACATTTACACAATTTGCGTAAAAAGAAAGGCCATATTATTGGTCAGTTTCGTTTAGATTTTCCCAAAATTCGACTTCAGCCTTCATTATGGTGGAATGGCGATATATTTAATCGGTTTTTAAAATCAGAGAATCCACAAGCTAAAATCGCGATTTTTCGTACAATCAAGGGCTATAATTCAGGAAGTTATGATCCGATATGCCTGAATCTTGAAAGGAACCAAGATCTTTGCGTTATAAACATGCAAAATCAGATGAAAATTGTGAGCTCTAGAGTGATCACAAGCTAAAATCGCGATTTTTCGTACAATCAGGGGTCATAGTCAATGAAGTTATGGTCTGATACATGCCAATATTGAAAGAAACCTATAATTCAAGCTTCGTTAAAATCGGATAAAAATTGTGACTGAGTGTCTACGAACAGCTTGTGGGCGGACAACATAATACGTCCACATGAAAATGTGGGAGTATAAAAAGCGGGCTCGATCTCGTCGTGGGCGTTGTGGTATGCATCGGGTACAGATTGGCGTAATTACGATTTGAAATCCAAAACAAGAGCAGGCCATAAGGGTTCTGGTGAATATACTTTCTTTAAAAATCTTTTCGTAAGTCCTCTGCAATCCAGAGCTTTAAGACTAACTTAAAAACACATTTATTTCAAAAATGTTTTTGAACTGTTTTGTAGTGAATGCGGTTAGAAACACACATGTCGCGCTATATAAATACAACAACAATGATAATAATAACAAGAACTGCTTAAAAGCAGTACTAACGTGTTTCGGTGAAATGTGTCAAGATTTATTCTAATTTCCACCAACAGCAAACACCCTGCACATGCACTGAATGTAACTAAAGTTTTGATAGAATTGTCCTTAAATGGTCTTCTTGGTGTTTAGTCAAAATCAACACTACTTTATTTGATATCAGTGATCGAATGAAAGTTTACTTCACATTGGCAACACGTGAACTGAAATGAAATGGGGTTTAACGTCCTACTGTTTTGCTCCAAACTCTGCAGGGCTAATCAACACGGGCATGCGCCATACAGTGTGCTATGAGGGAAATTTTGTCCAGGCAGCGGAACTACGGCCTGGCAACACGTTTACGAACCGTCTGACTGTTGGCAGTCAAAACAATACCTCGTAGCACTGCCGCCAGGGCAAAATTTCCATTACAGCACACGGCATGGAGAAAACTTGAATTTCTCTCTATCATTATCATGTAGCAGATAGTAGCACTACTGTATATTATACGATATCGATAATGACACCTCATGTGACGTGGTGTCATGCCAGGTCGCTTCTTGTCACATCAACAATCAAGTTACACCATAGCGTGATAAGCGAACACCATCCCAAACTTAAGCTGCCTGTCTACAGTTAGCTCCACTTGTATTCTCGAAGTAAGAAAGAAAGCAGGGGACTATTAAAATGGGTTCGTCCGTCAATCTGTCTGTCTGTCTGTCCGTCACACTTTTTGGGACACAATACCTCTCCTTCTAATTGACCTAGAATGTTCAAACTTGGTGTAGGTGTTTGTCTGTCTGTCTGTCTGTCTGTCCGTCACACGTTTTGGGACACAATACCTCTCCTTCTAATTGACCTAGAATGTTCAAACTTGGTGTAGGTGTTTATTAGGTCAATGCCTTGATGGAGTTCGAAGATGAGCATTTTCTGCTTAGGGTAAGCAGAGATAAGCAATTTGATTGGTTGATGCTTTGGGACACGATAACTTTAGTTCTAATTAAGTGAGAGTGATGAAACTTGATGTATAGTTTCATTACATCAATACCTTGACTAAGTTTGATAATGAGCATTTTCTGCTCAGGGTAAGCAGAACGATAAGCAATTTGATTGGCCGAGACTTTGGAACACAATAACTCTCCTTTTAATTGAGCTAAAATGTTCAAACTTGGTGTAGGTGTTTATTAGGTCAATGCCTTGATGGAGTGTGAAGATGAGCATTTTCTGCTTAGGGTAAGTAGAGATAAGCAATTTGATTGGTTGATGCTTTGGGACACAATAACTTTAGTTCCAATTAAGTGAGAGTGATGAAACTTGGTGTATAGTTTCATTACATCAATACCTTGACCAAGTTCGATATTGAGCATTTTCTGCTCAGGGTAAGCAGAGCGATAAGCAATTTGATTGGCCGAGACTTTGGAACACAATAACTCTCTTTCTAACTGAGCTAGAATGTTCAAACTTGGTGTAGGTGTTTATGAGGTCAATGCCTTGATAGAGTCTGAAGATGAGCATTTTCTGCTTATGGTAAGTAGAGATAAGCAATTTGATTGGTTGATGCTTTGGGACACGATAACTTTAGTTCTAATTAAGTGAGAATGAGGACACTTGCTGCATAGCTTTATTACATCAATACCTTGACTAAGTTCGATCATGAACATGTTCTGCTGAGGGTAAGCAGAGCGATAAGCAATTTGGAACACAATAACCCTCCTTCTAATTGAGCTAGAATGTTCAAACTTGGTGTAGGTGTTTATTAGGCCAATGCCTAGATGGAGTGTGAAGATAGCTGCATAGCTTTATTACATCAATACCTTGACTAAGTTCGATCATGAACATTTTCTGCTGAGGGTATGCAGAGCGATAAGCAATTTGATTGGTTGAGACTTTGGAACACAATAACTCTCCTTCTAATTGAGCTAGAATGTTCAAACTTAGTGTAGGCGTTCAATAGATGAAGCAGAGATAAGCAATCTGATTGGTTGATGCCTTGGGGCACGATAACTTTAGTTTTAATTAAGTGAGAGTGATGAAACACCGAGTATAGATTCATTATATCATTACCTTGACTAAGTTCGATGATGAGAATTTTCTGCATAGACTATAGATCGATAAGCAATTTGATTGGTCAAGACTTTGGAACATAATAACTCTGCTTGTAATTGAGGTAGAATGTTTAAACTTGATTAACATTTCGAGCTAAAGCTAAGCCGAGCTAAGCAATTTCATTGGTCGATAGTGTATAGTTGATAATCAGTTTGAATGCTTGATACTTTCGAAAAAAAAATAATGTGCTATTGATTAATATGTGTCATCTATTTATATTGGGAATTCAGCGGGGACATCAGCCTCACTGTTGACTTGTTTATGATGTTATTTCGTTATACTTACTGCTATAAAGACAAAGAGTGGTGTTAGAATTATAAATGGGTATTGGAGAGTAAGTTCCCCTGGTCAGCATAGTGGAGCTGGTTCATTATTCTCATACTATAAATCTAACAGTGGCTCGTGTCCAGGAGAATGTATTAATACGGAAGGTCCTACCAATGAAACTATTGTAGTACAGGTAAAAATAGTGCACTAGTTCTCTTGTTATGATTACAATGGTTTGTACTTCAAGGAGCCACGGTGGCTCATTGCGTAAAACACTGCCTCATCTAACCAATAGGTCCAAAGCAAGGTGCAGGAGTTGGAAGTGAAAGTTCCTCATGGTCTGGCAAGGAAGAGCATGTAGTGGTTCGGAAGGGTTTAAAAACTGATATCCTGTGTACACATTGGCATGGATGTACACTGTGCACGTTAAAGAACCTATGTCATTTGGAATTCTATAAAGAATAGGCAGAAATGCTGCTGTCTGGGCAAATTTTCCCCATAGCACACCTAATGGCTTAATGGTTAACATGTGCACATAATTGGGCCAGAAGGTCTGTCTTTGAGTCAAGTGGAGTAGGGTCGTCTATCTAACCGCGTGTGTTTTTTTCTGGTCCTCCGGTTTCCTACCACTGCTAAAGATCCCTACACACAACCGAATTATTGAAATAAAATTGAACCATATTTTAGTCCCGAAATTACCTAGTCTGTGTCAAATGGATGTTAACCCCCCCCTCTCTCTCTCCCTGATGGTAGAGAAATTTAGAAGTTAACCCCATATTATTTACGTAATAGAAAAGAGGAAATAAAACTGGTAACCTTAGTGACCAGAAACGAAATGGTTGATTAGATTAAATTTATCATTACGGGTTTTTTCAATATTCAATATTCAAGATATTTTTTCGACTACTTCCGGTTCTTGGATCATTGTCACCTGGCTAATGAAGACATGAAATGAAATAGGGTGAAACGTCCTACTGTTCTGCTCCCAACTGGGCTATTAAAGACAGGCATACGTCATACAGTGTGCTGTTAGGGAAATTTTGCCCGGACAGCGGCACTACGGCATACTCTTATATTTATATCAAATTCCAACTGCCAAGGGATCTTTTACGTGCACCCCAATCTGTACACGGGGCCTTGTTTTTTCGTCCCATTGGAATGACTAGACAGCTGAAAAGGGTGAACCATGCCGGAAAATCTGGATGAACTTTCTCGGCCAATGCAGGGATCGATCACCCGACCTCCAGGCTAGCGAGCTAGCATCTTACCCACTTAGCCACCGAGATCCCCAATGAAGACAGAGGATAGGATGGGGGGGGGTAGATATATACTATTCAAAAAAAGTAGGGGATA